GGATGGGAGGAGAAGCGGAGATGGGAAGGAGGCCAAGGAGATGAGGAGAGAAGGCGTTTGGCTGGCAGGAGGGGGGATTTGACAAGGCCACGGGGAGTTTGTGAAGCCTTAAGAGGAGGTTGGTGCGGTGGATGGAAGAGAAGCGGATAGAGCAGAGCAAGAAGCACAGCAGACGGGGGTGTGAGGCCAGCAATGCAGCACAAGCAGGTGCAAGCAACGCGGAGCGCACCAGACCCACACCACACACCACACCCACTGGCCCACACCACACCCACTGGCCCACACCACACCCACTGACCCACACCACACCCACTGACCCACACCACACCCACTGACCCACACCACACCCACACCTTCCTCACTCATCTCACACGTGTGAGCCGACTCAAAGGTAGGTGCTGTCCCACCCCTTCCCCCTCTCGCCCTCTCACCCTCTCCCCATCCCACCCCCCAGTCAACCTCTCCTCTCACCCTCTCACCCTTCCCCCCCAACCCCCTCAGCCTCTCTCTCACCCTCTCATTCCCCACGCCCTCACCCTCTCACCCTCTCATTCCCCACTCCCTCACCCTCTCACCCTCTCATTCCCCACTCCTCCCTCACCCTCTCACCCTCTCATTCCCCACTCCCTCACCCTCTCACCCTCTCATTCCCCACTCCCTCACCCTCTCACCCTCTCATTCCCCACTCCCTCACCCTCTCACCCTCTCATTCCCCACTCCCTCACCCTCTCACCCTCTCATTCCCCACTCCCTCACCCTCTCACCCCTCATTCCCCACTCCCTCACCCTCTCACCCTCTCATTCCCCACGCCCTCACCCTCTCACCTCTCATTCCCCACTCCCTCACCCTCTCACCCCTCATTCCCCACTCCCTCACCCTCTCACCCTCTCATTCCCCACTCCCTCACCCTCTCACCCTCTCATTCCCCACTCCCTCACCCTCTCACCCTCTCATTCCCCACTCCCTCACCCTCTCACCCTCTCATTCCCCACTCCCTCACCCTCTCACCCTCTCATTCCCCACACTCCTCACCCTCTCACCTCTCATTCCCCACTCCCTCACCCTCTCACCCTCTCATTCCCCACTCCCTCACCCTCTCACCCTCTCATTCCCCACTCCCTCACCCTCTCACCCTCTCATTCCCCACTCCCTCACCCTCTCACCCTCTCATTCCCCACTCCCTCACCCTCTCACCCTCTCATTCCCCACTCCCTCACCCTCTCACCCTCTCATTCCCCACTCCCTCACCCTCTCACCCTCTCATTCCCCACTCCCTCACCCTCTCACCCTCTCATTCCCCACTCCCTCACCCTCTCACCCTCTCATTCCCCACTCCCTCACCCTCTCACCCTCTCATTCCCCACTCCCTCACCCTCTCACCCTCTCATTCCCCACTCCCTCACCCTCTCACCCTCTCATTCCCCACTCCCTCACCCTCTCACCCTCTCATTCCCCACTCCCTCACCCTCTCACCCTCTCATCCCCCCCCCATCACCCCAGTGCAATCCCCCCCCGGCGCAAAAGCCATGCGCCATGATGAGAAGATGCGGCCCTCACACTCACAGTGTGCGTGGCGCCAATATTCAATCCAATTAACACAGAACCAACAACAGTGACACCAATCCAGTTTCGCGTACTCACAGCATGGTTGGCGCCGAAGCCATGTGCCATGATGAGCAGATGCCGGCTCTTGCCCTCTACCCACACACTGCGCTCGCTCCCGATTCAACTCCCCTCCGAGTCCCACCGCTCACTCACAGCATGGTTGGCGCCGAAACCATGTGCCATGATGAGAAGGTGCCGCCCCTTTCCGCGCTGCTGCACGCGCAGCAGCTCACACATGGTCCGCCCCTCCCGCAACGCAGTCGCCTGCTGCGATCTAATGGCAACAGCCGGGGCGGGAAAGAGGACAAAGAGTTGTTTTCTCTTTTTTTTTTCTTTGGGGGGGGAGGGGAGGAGTTTGGGGTTGAGTTGAGTCAGTGGAGAGTCCTGGTCTTGCTGAAATGAGCCGTGTTTTGAGTCGACTCAAATCAAGGCTCAAATAACGAGAGTCCTGATCTTGCTCGAGGAGGGGAGGAGCAGGGGAGAGTGAGGGAAAGGATGAGTGGAGTGAGAGGGGGAGGGAGGGGAGGGGAGGGGTAGATGGGGAGAGAGGGGAGAGTGGGGGAGGGAGAAGTACCCTGCGTTAGGAGGGAGGCAACCAAGGGAAAGAGCTACACCTGCAACCACCATAACCGCTATTGCCTCTACAACCGCTATAACCACTATAACCGCTATAAGCAGCGGTTGGACCTTATAGGGCAGAGCGGGGAAGGGCGGGTGAGGATGAGGGTAGGGCGCGAGCAAGCGGACGCCTAGCTTGACTCGTGAGAGCATTTATTGAGATGGCGTGACGAAACACCCAAGGCTTCTTCCTGCGCCGACACAACATGCTTTTTTGCACCTTGAAAAAAAAGACTTGGAGAGTTTAACATAATATAGCTCAACGGACAAACGACTACGCCTGGCGGAGCTTGCTGCCCGCAGAAAAAAAAAAAAAAAAAAAAAAAAAACCCGTTCGGGCATGCATCCGGTCAGGGAAACATCAACCCTACCTTGTCGTATGTGTTTAGGGCTGGAGTGGTGCCTCCCTCGGATGGCATGCCATCCGATGGGGTTTTAGTTTTTTTTGCCCGCCGGTCAGGTCGTCGGTAGTTGACACATTCCTCAAAAAGGTCTTCCCCCCCAACCCCCTCCCTCTTCCCCGCCCCCCCCTTCCTCCCCTCCCCTCCCCACTCACCCTCCCACTCACCCTGGATTTTCCGGCCACTCCCCTCTCATCCTTCCCCACCCACCCCTTCCCCATCTCCCCATGCCCCACAACCAGCGACCCACATTTGTGCTGCTGTCAAGTTCCGCTTGATCCGCGGCCCGCCCGCGCTTCCCCGTCCGCTCATGGACCCCCCGCCGCCCATGCTTCCCCCTCCGCCCGTGCTCCTATCCCCGCCGCCCAGGATAGCCAAAGGCCGCCCCGCATGCATCGAGCACACGTCCCGCGCTTGCGCCCCCGCCCCCGCCACCGCTGCCACAGCCGTTGCGCCAATGCCCCTGCGCGATCCGCTGCCTCCGCCAGCGGATCCCCCGAACACCCACAATCTCCCCGACCCGGACCTCGACCCGCCTCCGCTTCCCGCGCCGTCCCCCTCCTCGCTCCGCGCGCCCGCTCCCGTCCGCTCTGCCCGCGGGAGCTTATGCGCGTGCGCCTCTGCGCGCGCCGCCTCTCCGCTTCCCGCTTTCCGCACGTTCCCCAGGTGCGCGAACATGGGCGTTGGCGGAAGCACCTTAACGCCGCCTTTACTCACTCCGCCAGCCTCCGCCATTTTTTCCGCCCAGCCCCCCGTCCCGCCGTCTTTGCCTGCGCGCGCTGCCGCCGCCGCCGCCCCGCCAAGGTCATGCCTTCCCCCAAGAGATTTTTCTTCCACGGGCTGCCCGGATGAATCAGGGGGAAGCGCAGGCGCAACTTGCGCGGATTCCTGCGCTCTACTGCCGGGACCTTCGGGCTTCGCGGGTCTTGCAAGGCCGTTTCGCGCGGGGAAAGGCGCGGCGGACGTGCTACCACTACTCCCCGCAACTGCTGCGGCGGGGGGAAGTGAGGCGGAAAAGACGGGTTTCGCCGCGGCTTGAGCCGCTGTTTCGACTTGAAAAGGCGGCTTTTCTTGGGATAACTGCTTCCGCGGCGGCGGCGCCTCGAGGGACGAAACTCCCTCCTGGTCAGTAGCGCTACTAGTAGTCTGGGGGCGGCTGGAGCTAATAGGGCCGTTATTATGACTCCGTTTTAAGCAATTTCCCATTAATCTGCTCGGTCCGAGTAATAGTTGCCACGCGTCGCAGCAGTAACTGTACGTTTCGCGTTGTCGGCGACTGTTGTCCTACTTTGATCCGACGTGGAACGGTCTGATTGGACGGCCGTACATAGTGCCTGAATTAATAAGGCGATGGGGTAGACGCCGCGTAGTGCGCTCATGAATCGAAGCCTACTATTACTACACCATGGAAATTGGCGGGTCCAAAAAGCAGGGAGATGCTTCAATCGGGAAGAAGGTATAGACTCAATATTGAGTCGAGTTAAACCACGTCAACACTCTAGCTAGGCGCTTCGGAAATCGGTTGTTTGCAGTGATAACTACCACCAGCAGCTGCTTCGCGGCTAAGTATGGGAGAAAGACGGCACGCCGCCTACTAGTAGGAGGAACATGTCGTGGATTGCGAGCTGGCGGGCTGGGGGGGACGCACGTTCGGGCCATCAGTGATTGGATCGGGAGGGAATCAGGAGGGCGAAGAATGCTGCCTGAAACGAGGGGCACGTCTTTTGCAAGTGAAGCTTGTGAGGTGCGAAGCAGTAAATCCAAGTCCCAGAGGGATCCAGAGGTTGCGAGAGAGGTAAAGCGGTTTGCGGTGGCAATGCTGTGATTCACCGTAGAACTTCCAGGGGTGCCGTGTGGCGAGAACCAGGGTGGTACTGTGCAGAACAGATGAGGGTTGGGTTGGATGGGATGGGAGGGAAAGGGATGGGATGGGATGGGATAGGATTGTATGGGTTTGGGATGGGATACGGGGGGGCCAAATTGGGCGGGTCACTGGGGTCCACTGCCACTTTTGGAATTCTATCCACTGCCGCGTCGAGGTGCATCGAAATTGAGTGTGGGGTTCGTTCGATCCGTTTTCGAAGCGAATGTTCACGGGGAGATTTCGGGCTCGGCTCGGCAGTCCCGCGCCACCCGCCCAACCACTCTCCAAAAACGACTGCTGCTGCCGCTGCCATGCTGGACTGCACTGTAGTCAGCAAGGGTGGGGTGTTGTCTCGCCTCGGCACGGTAGCAGACGTGGCTGGGGTTGGGAGTTTTACGGTTAGGGGATACCAGACCAGATAACAACGGCGTTGTTCTGCAGGCGTCATTCGCGTCGCACCAATTTGACCGCGGTTGCCTTCCGTGTAACTTCGAAGCGCATTCATGCCAGTTGCGTTTCGCGGACATTGCTGCCTCGCATAACTTGTGCGGAGGCTGGTGCTAGCTCCCGAGGTAGAATCAGCACCGCACAAGTTGTGCGACCATTTGCCCGGCGAAGCAACAACTTCGAACCTGCAGACGGTTAAATTTCTGCGCCCCAAAAGTGGCGTTCTGCAGGCGGAAGCGTTAAATTTGGCGCGAACAGGTTTGGGAGGGTCTCCCTTATCACCAAACCTTGATAGGCAGAAGACTTCTTATCAACGAAAATTCCGCGGACCCAGTTTTTGGAAATTTAACGCCTGCAGAACAGCGCCGACATGGTTCTGGGGTTTGTTTGGGGTGTACGAAGTTATCACGTGGTTGCAGTGATTCGTGAAGCGTCCCGCGTGGCATGCAGGGTGGTGTGACCCTTGCCATGAAGGGCATTACCTTCCATCTTCACCGCTGTATACCGCTTTGCAGAAGTCCAGATTGGTCCACCAAATGTAACCAGCACCGAGAAACACTCACGTACGCGTTTTACAGTGAGTCATATTTTGGACAGTCAAGTTGAAACAAACTGTAATTGAAAGGAAGCCTGCCACAAAAAATGTAATTTATACTGATATCATGTCCTCATGCCATAATTTATGACATTTCTAGATAAACAATCATGAATAAATAAAGACCCTAGAATATACCTTTCCATGAAGATCACTTTTTTCCAGTCTAGTTATTCTCGATTTATTCACTTCAAATCCGGGAATTATGTGAATATGATGGATTGCATGGTTTGGGCCTTCTGTAGGAAAATAGAAGAAAACTTAGCTTTATATAAATTGTAGTCTGATGCCAGCACTGCAGTTGACACATGTTGCGCATTGCATGTCAGTCCGTCATGACGTGTCCTCAGTGAGGTCGGCGGGTCACACGGCTCACCTGGCCCCTTGTCAGTTGACCAGAACCACATTCTTGAGACAGCAGCACGTCTCCAAACCGTCGCTCTTGGTTCGGCTCCAGGCTCATCAGCTATCCGAACCAGACTCAAGTTTATCGAGCCGCATCTCCCTTCGAAACTCACGCAAGGATGGCACTTTTCAAAGTCGAACATTCGGAAAGTTGGAAAACCGAAGGCCAATTTGCTTCCGTCCATTCACACAACTACGCCAATACCTCCGTCTATCAAACTACAAAGTAATTATCATTTTTGCTTAGGCTGCTTCTCCAAGAGCAGCAACTACGTACGTGCGCGTCGTTGTTCCTCCACTTCTCTCCGGCGCCATTAAAGCCGTCGGCCGTGCTCTGCGTTGTCTACTGAACGCGGAGCGCTTTCACACGTCGTTTCCGCATCCGACCGGTCTTTTCCTTCTAGTAGGAGCAGCGTGGCCAGCTCGGACGCGATCATGCTGCCGGCATTAGTAAGCACTACTGCGGGGAATCATCATTGTCCGCGCGATGCTCACGTTGCGAAGGTACCGGCGGCTCCAGCGCCAATCGCGGCGGAATATTTGGAGGAGATGCCGCTCGTTCTAGCGGATAGCGATGAGGCAGAACCCCGGGTATCGTCGCGATTCAAGGCAAAAAATCTGTGCGAACCGCGTGCGGGCGCGCAAGGGGCTGCGCACGCGAACAGGGAAGCGCGCAGCGGGAGCGGAACAGGGAATTGGGCGGGCGGAGACGTTCCGCGGTGCCGGTGGGCGGTGAAAGTGGGGGAGTGGCGGCCGAGCGCGGAGGAGTTTTGGGCGGCAATGGCGCTGCTTCCCGCGGAACACCACGCGCACGTTCTCAGGTGAGCCTCTCCCATTGGTTGAAATGCGCCCGTTTTATTTCCATCTCCCTGTGTCATTCGCTCCGCTTTGCGACCCCCACCTCGTCCCCAGCCATCCCCGTACCACTTTTTCCCACCCGGACCCCCGCGTTTTCCCTATGCGCCGATGCCCCCGCCCCGCCTACGCCTTACACGCCCGCGCAGGTTTCTCCGCCTGTCCGACCGCAAGCGCGCGCTGGTGAGCCGGCTGGCGCAGATGGCGCTGGTGGCGCGCGCATGCGGCGCGCAGGGGGGCGAGGTGGAGCTCGTGCGGACGAGGGAGGGGAAGCCGCATTACCAGGTGCGGCGGAGAGAGAGTGCAGTGGAGGGGGAGGAGGGGGAGGAAGGGGACGCGCGGGGGCAGCGGTTAGAGTCACGTAACAGCAGCCATGACAGCAACTGGTGCAGTAATTGGAACAGCAGTGATGGCATAAATGTGAGGTCACAGGGATCCTCAGTCAAGGGGGAGAGAAGTGGACGAAACAGCAGCAGTGAGAAAAGCAGCCGCAACAACAGCAGCGTGCGGTTCAACGTGTCTCACCACGGGGATTTCGTTGTCCTTGCCTCCGAGCCCTCGGGCATCGTTGGCGTCGACGTGGCGGCGCACGATTGGCCGGATTCGGCAGCCGCTGCTGCTGACATGGCGGCGGCTGCTGCTGTGGATCAATTCAAAGATCAATGCTTGCAGCAGTTGAAGCAGGGTGGGGATGGTGGCAGGAGTGGGAACGGTGCCAGGAGTGGGGACAGTGGGAGGAGTGGGGATGGGAATAGAAATGGAAGCAGGGGTAGGGATGGCAGGGATGGCAGCAGGAGCAGTGGGGACGGAGAGTATGGCAAGGAATGGGAGGATGTGGGGGCGGTGGAGGTGGTGATGGTGGGTCGAGAGGTGGAGGGAGAAGCGGTGGGGGAGAGGGAGAGGGTAGTGATAGAGGACAGTGGGGAGGAAGATGCTGGGAGAGAGCAAAGAGAGAAAGGACTAGAGGTGTTGGTGGGGGCGAGTGCAAGAGAGGAGGAGTTGAAGGAAAGAAGGTTGAAGAGTGGGAGTCCAGTGGGTGGGATTGTTAGGAGTAAGCATGGGGGGAGTGGAAGCACCTTCAGTATGAGCAGCAGCAGCAGCAGCAGCAGCAGCAGCAGCAGCAGCAGCAGCAGCAGCAGCAGCAGCAGCAGCAGCAGCAGAAGCACGACCACTATCAGCAGCACCACCACCATCGGCACCAATCCCAGCAGCAGCAGCAGCAGCAGCAGCAGCAGCAGCAGCAGCAGCAGCAGCAGCAGCAGCAGAAGCAGCAAATACGGCGATCCTCAGCAGTTGTTCAAGCCGTTCCGGTCGCTGGGACTGCTCACAGCAAGGGAATGGGCAGCCATAGAACAGGCAGGGGATAGCACTTACGAGGAGCAACACCACAGCTTCTACAGGTACGCTCAGCTGAGGGGGGAAGAAGGGGGAGGAGGGAGGAATTGAGTTCTCGTAGAGGCAGCACATGGGGCGGATGTGTGTGGAGCCCAGAAAAAGTTGACTCATAGTAATGCGATGGGCTAAGGCTTACGAGGTGGTGTTTTCCAGAGTGTTTTGGGGTGCCTAGGCTTAGACCCAGGAGACCCAAGAAACCGAGGTGTTTCTCACCCCACGCTAAACCCTACCTCTTCTGCTCCTCCTAAGCCCATCCCCTTCGGCTCCACGCTACCCCGACCCCCCCACCTGTGCCTTCCCAGGGTGTGGGCACTCGATACATGTTCAGGTTGCTGGCTTCTCTCTGTGCATGGAGGTTACATGGATTAAGGCTGTCCATCCGTGAATGTACACTCTCGCGTTCCTCCTGCCGTCCTCCTTTCTACTCTGCCCTCCTCATCCTCCGTCCCATTTTTCCACCCGACACCTTCTCTCCCAGGGTATGGGCGCTGAAGGAGACATACGTGAAAGCAATAGGCACGTGCCTGGGGTACGACCTGACTCTCCGCCTCTTCCTCTCTCTTCCCCTCGCCCCACGCCCACTCTCCCTTGCCCTCAACGCCCTTCCTCCCAGGGTATGGGCACTCAAGGAATCTTACGTGAAAGCCATAGGCATGGGTCTGGGGTTTGACCTGAGCCGGATAGAGTTCACGTGGGGGAGAACTGAGCACAGGGTTCATCCGAGCTGCCGTGCTGCCGTTGCGCAAACACGAAACGAGCCGAGTCGTAGTCATAGAGAGGGTGCGATGAGCTGTAATGGCTCACAGAGCACTGGTGTCACCAGCACACGAGGCTGTTCACAGGACTCTGGGGGCTGTGGAACGGGCTGTGAGAGCGGTGGGGTGCGGTGGGAAGAGGAGGGGGAACAGCGCGGGGGAGAGGAGGGGAAGGAGGAGGAGGAGGTGTGGGAGGCGAGGGTGTGTGTGGATGGGGTGTTGCAGCGAGCCTGGCGGTTCTTTGTACACAGGCTGCCACATGACCACTGGGTGAGTGAAGTGTGCTGTGTGACATGACATCCACCATGTGCTATGTGCCATCCACCATGTGCTATGTGCCATCCACCATGTGATGTGTGCCATCCACCATGTGCTGTGTGCAATGCGACATGTGCCGAGCAGTACTTAACTGCAAACGCTGAACAAGCCTTTCTGACAGCGTAACTGCAACGCTCATGCCCTTTCCCAGTTCTCTCAGGCGATTAATCACTGTTGCACAAAGCTGTTCTCCTTGATGCCTTCCCTGCGGGATGATTGCCTTTGGCAGGTGGCTGTAGCTCGAGGTCCTTTAACAGATGCCACACCAAGCTACCAACAACTCGTTGAGGGGGAGACGGATAAATATGACGTTTCAATTGGTTGTTCCGAGCCTGCATTTGAGCTACTCTCTGTGGAGGATGTGATTTCAATGTTGGGTTCTAAACAGGCTGCTCTGTGAAACCCCAATATGGTACTGTATATGATTCTATGTAATTTTAAGGAGCTGCAGTTCTAGTTTCCCCTCCATGAAAGCGGAACAGTAACAAACAGTTGAGTGAGAAGGCATGACCTCCTGTCAATTCTCGTGTAAGGAATCTAGTCCTCCTATCATCCTCTGTGCCATGTATACAGCATTGTTGATTTTACTCATTACCATGACGAGTATGGTACCTCTACTTCCTGGCTAAGCTTTCCCTAGCAAAGATGCCTCATCCATGCCCTTACACACGGATGACATCACCATTTTTCCCGGACTTCAATAACAAGATTGACAAAACCATTGGGCTTTTGATTGCACTTGTTTCCAATTATCATTCAAGTTCACCCCGTATAGCCTCTCCCTTTCTTGCTGAATCCCTGTTCCCAAGTTGCCCATGCGCTCGATTATTGTCAGACACATGTATTCAACAGCACTCCCCATTTAACCTGGATCAAAACTTGCTCCCAGATTCAAAGAATGGCCATTTGAGGAATTTTATCAATTTTACGAAGTGAGTGAATTAACTTTGCACTATCCATGAAGTAGGAAACTCAATAGCGAGAGAGTAACTGGTAACACAAGTAAGATGAAACGAGTGCTGCGAAATCTTGAATTCGCGGAGCCAAGTCGGTAACACAGGCTTCGACCCGCTAGAAGCCGGAATCCCCAAGCAGCTGTGAGTGGAAGAGCCACCCCACCACCACGGTCAGTCGGTGGTGGTGGAATCACTGTCGGTGCGGGAAACGGCTGGGCATTTGGGGGATGGGTGGATAGTGGTGTGGTGGCACTGCGGTAGTGGGTGGGGGGGAGCTGATTTGGGATTAGGTGGTGCTGCAGCTGTACAGATGATGCTCGTTTGACTAACCCAAGGTTGCCTTGTGAAGGGGGCTCTTAAGTGATTCTTGCATTTCGCTAAGTTTTCGTCAATTCTCACAGAAACTTTGTAACTCGCCGTTGACCTTTTGACTTCAGTCTCTTCGGTCAAGCTTCGTTTTCTGTGGTTCGAATTGGTTCAAATCGCTGCAACTTGCTCGAGGCGCTTGTAAGTGGGGTGCAACTGGCTGGCAATAAATACACGCGTGCAGAGTATCTGGCGCGTGCAGGGCAAATTCGAGCGCAGCGGTTGAGCAACATGTGTATGGCAATGACGGGGCACCACCACACTACGGTCCATAAGCCAGCGAATCTTAGATTCTAATCTACGGAGCCCCCTGCTCCCGCGCCTCCAGAATCATGGGTGCCTGCCGACAGCACTCGCGCAGGCGACGACAACTGCCACGACGATTAAGACAAGGAACGAGAGTTGCGTCGTCACGTCACGTGACGAGACTCGTGACTCGTGACTCGTGTAGCGACGGTGGATGATGAGCCGAGCCGAGCCACTACTACTAACCGGTGGATCTACTAACGCAGTGAACGTCAGCCCAGCGCACCATCTCGATTCTCCACTCGCATCAGTAGCAGCCTGGAGTCTCCCAGTTTCAGCTCTTGCGAGTCGCTTTTGAGAATTCTTGAAAAAAAGACAGAAGATAAAAACAAAAGTCGCCAGAATGGGTAAGCACTTGTCGCGTACTCACCGCAAACCGCGTCGCGATCTCGTCGGCGCGTCACCGTCCGCGCATCGCATGAGCCTCGCGGTGCGGGACTTGGCAGTCGTCGGGAACCCGCTCTTCGCTCTTCGCTCTTCGCTGTTCGCTGTACACTGCTTGCTTTTGCAGCTTGCCGCTTCACACCGGTCGTCCTATATAAGCATCCATGTCGCCCTCCTCTCGATATCACATCCAAGTGCCTAAAACATTCAGTGCCTGCAGAATTCACCATTAGATTCCATTGACAGCTAGTAGACTGCTCGCAGATAGCTCACAAGTCAGCGGCGGCTTTTTCAGGGTTGAGAGGATCATGGCGACGTCGAAGGTCCTTGCGGTGCTGATTCTCGTTCTCCTCGCCACTTCTTGTGAGTTCGCTCCCATTTCCTGTTGCTCGCTCTCGTGCTCCCCGCGTCCTGGTTGCCATGATATGCTCTATCTTAGTCTTTAGTAGCATATTCTCTCTTTTTTTTTTTTCTTCTTGAAAAAAAGACTCACGACTTTGCCGTCGTTCGTATGTGCAGGCGCCTTCGCTGCTCCGGGTAACGGCAAGGGGAAAGGCGGAAACGGAAAAGGGGGAGGCGGCAAAGGGAACGGTGGCGGAAAAGGCAGCGGGAAGGGCGGAAACGGTGGCGGAATTCTGGGCGCGCTGAGTGGCGGAAACTCCACTGGCGGATGGGGCGCGGGCGGCATATTCTCCGGGCTCTCCGCGCTCTTTGGAAACGGCTCCGCGCGGAGCGACCTGGGGGGCATCTTTGGGCGCAAGGGCGGGAGTGGGCAGGGCAAGGGGAACGCCGGAGGCAAGGGGAAGGGTAAGGGGAACGGCAAGGGGAACAGTGCGGGAGTGGCGACAGCTGGCAGCGCGAGTGAGGCAGTGGTGGGGGTGATGGGGGTAGGCAACGGCAAGGGGCAAGGCAACGGGCAGGGGCAGGGGAATGGTCAAGGCAATGGGAAGGGGAAGGGGAAGGGGAAGGGCGCTGGGTGGGGGAAGCGCGGGAAGAGCGCGGGAGGCGTGTTGGCGAAGCTGAGGGGCAGCAGTGTGGCGGGCGATGCGCTGACAGCCCCTGGCGATGCCAACGCCACCGGCGTCCTCGAAATCACCCTCCTGCAGTGAGTCCTGAGCCCCCTGCCGCTCCTGATCCCTCAATTCCGGAAAAAAACGTCTCTTCTCTGTGAAACGAGCATGTCTCCCCCTGTCCGTCTCGTTCACTCCATCTCCTTCCCCGCATTCCCCTCTCTCCTCCCACCCCCCCCCCCCCCTCTCCCCCTCCTCCTCCCCTCCTCCTGTCGTGTGTGGCGGCATGGCAGGAACGGCACGGACTACTACGTGGGCTTCACGGCGCGCATCTCCCTCTCCAATCCCACCGCGCCCACAGCACTCACCCTCAACAGCGGCAGCGCCGCCACCACCGGCCCGGCTCTGCTCGACTTCTCCACAGCCACGGGTGCTGACGGCACGACCCCCCCTGCCTGGACCAGCAGCAGCAGCGATGCTGCCGCGTCCGCCCCTGGCAGAAGCAACACCCCCATGGGGCGTGCGTGGGGCCGCCTGCAGCGCGCAGTGGGGCTGGGGCGCTCTGCTCGCACAGCAGGGCTGAACACGTTCACTCTCACGGGCGTGTGGCGGGCTGTTGGCACTGTGGCTGCTGCTGACGGCGTGCAGACGGTGAGGGATGTGGTGCTGGGTGTTGTGGCGCAGCCCAGCGCGTTCTATGCTGTGGTGGCCTCTCCGGGGTTTGAGGCGGGCGCTGCTAGGGGGCAGTTTCAGAAGGCACCCAAAGGATGGGCGTTCGGGCTCTGGAACTGAATACTGGAGGGATTGGGAGGACAGGGCTGGGCTGGGAGTGTGAATGTGGGAGGGTGTGTGGGCTCTTGGTGGAGGCAGCACAAGAACAACTGGGGATGAATGTTCAAGAGGTCCAAGAGTTCTGGGAAGTTCAAGAGGTGCGCTACTTGGTACCGTAGATGGTGTTTCTACCTGAGGAGCCTCCTACAGAGTCTGTTGTTAGAGGGCCTATTCCTGACGTTTAGAACGTGTGGCTGTCTGGTCACTGCAGCCTTCGCAGTAGGCAGAAACGCAAGGGCAGGCTCTAGAACAACAGGTCTTCAGTTCATGTTGTATGCTGAGACGTACTGTTTCAGAGATTTAGGTAAATGTTTGTTCAAGCTCATGGGCACTTTGAGCAAACTTCCCCAGACAAACAAGCTAAACAATATCAACATGGGTGATTAGAAAACTCTTTACTGTATGAGTAATTAGAGATAATAGTGATTGGGTTAGCACCCTTGGGACGCATACAAGTGTAGATCGATCACCAATATTGATCTACCACCACACTGCAATCAAGCTTATCACATATGCACCCTAAAGAACAGTTTTTAACCCAAGATAAAAATGATTCTTTTGAAGATCAATCAACACCTTTACAGCGTCCTTACCATATAACGAACGAGTACATCCAGGTGTTTTGTGTGGGCGGTAGCAACCAAGGTCGACGTGGGCCACTCTCCAAGTGACGACCTTTGCCCTGACCTTCGCATGGTGATCGCAGGGGCATCGCTGCCTTCAAAAACTGCTGTCGCACACTCGCGTCATTCCCAGCTCATCTTGGGGATGGAAGTTGGGGGAGGTGCGACTGCCACCCAGTTTGCCTTGGCGAAGTTGTTGGTGTGGAACATTTCGTCTCCGCTTATGTCGTTTGGCACTGTCATCCTATTTCGCCAGCGTCGCAAAAATTCATGAGTTACATTCGAACTGAAATGGAACTAATTTTACAAGAAACTACGCCCTTGCGTAGTTGCATCCATCCATGCATCAACCCGTAAACCGTGGCTTGCTGTACGATACCCGAGACTGCCGCCAGCTTGCATTATCCTTTCCTACCAGTCAGAACGAGCTGCCGAGTCGGCAGTGCCGACGTGGGAACAGACTGTTTTAATGAAGTCCCACAAACGGATGTCGCATCGTCTTGCCCACTAACTACCACATTAGTACATTGTTCTTATAATTCCTTCGAATAGTTGCCCCGTCCGTACTAGACACATGCTGTCGCAATGACCCAGTATAGTACCGTCGCTTAACCAATCCCCTGCACCATGCTTCCCACTTCTCCCTTCGAGAAGTTATTTTCTCACTTCCTTTACTTTCGCCAATGTCCAGAAGCTATCTCTCCTTCCTTCGTGCTGTTATACCTCAGAATGGGGTTTACCACTCTGCAGAGCTATATTTCCTAAAGCAACCCACGGATTAGCTTCACGCGAGGCTCTCTGTCAGCTGCATTGCAGCATCATTCTTCCCGTGCGTGCTTGCGCCTCGTCGTCAGCAGTACCTAGCCGTACGCGCCACAGCTAGCCTCCTGCAAACCCCTTCGCGAACCTTTTACGAAGTATTATCTCGTTAATGACTTACCTTACACCAGGCCGTGCTGCAGGCTCTATTTGTTAGAATCCCCTCAGGAACCGTTCTCAGACATACACGCAATCATTTGATTCATCACTCGCCGCCATTCTGCCTCCTCTCTTCGCGGCAAGGCTTACTCCCCCCAAAAAAACGACCTTGGCTATAGGTTACCACAACCTTTTTTTTTATCCCTTTTATTTTCTCCTCCGGGCAAGTAGCCGCGCGAGTCGCCATAGAATGGAGCGGCGTAAGCAAAGGCGGAAACTGGCAACAAATTTATTGCTCGAACTCTCTTCGTGCAATACTATACCCTAGCGTACTGCAAACGCGCCCTACTATACGCTCGTCCGCTGAGCATCCTCTTTTCAAGGTTTCCGTTAAACAAGAAACGGTACTTCCTCAAGTTCTTCTCGCCGCGATCAGCTAAACATCGCTTCCGAAAAATTGGAAACGGCCAGCTCGGAGACGCCACCAGTTTCCTTGCTACGCATTTCTGGAGCAGATTAGGGCAGCCGTTAAAAAAATAGAGAAGTAAGCAAATAACGCGCCCGGTGCAATGGGGAATCAGCAAAGCATGGTCTCCGTCGTGACAGAAAAGATATTTCCGAGACTGCCCGACGGTGCGGGCAGCGTGCTCATCCGCCCCTCGCTCCCGCTCCTCGAAGCGGGACCTTCCACTGCAACGGATGACCCTATATCGGGGACAAACGGGAACGAGAACGCGCAAGGTTCCCCCACGCCCTCCTCCTCTCCCTCCTCCGCCGCCTCCTCCCAGTCCCCGCCCCTCACTCGCTCCCTCTCCTCCTTCGCCTCTCGAAGTCGCAGCGGCAGGGGGAGTGCGAGAGGGCTTGCGTCTGCTGCTGTGTGCGGTGGCGACAGCAGGAGCTTTCGCCGTAGCAGCGATGAGAGGTCTAGCAAGCGGAAACAGAGCTGGAAGGAGGGTAGGGAGGAGAGTAAGGAGGGAAGTAAGAAGGCGAGTAAGGAGGAGAGTAGAGAGCAGAGTAATTCCGTTGTCGAGGGTGCCAGTGGCAGCAGCAGCAGCAGTAGCAGTAGCAGCAGAGGAGGAGGAACGGGGGGAAATGACATCACTGTAGCTGCAGCTGTTGCTGACGCTGGTGATGGGAATGGTGCTGGTGCAGGTGATGGTGGGAATGATGATATGAGCCGATTAGATGCACCAAGGAACCACAAGGAAATGGGACGGAGCAGAAGCGCGTGGGCTAACCTAGGCAGCAGCAGGGGCAGCAGTGACGGCAGCAGCAGCGGTGACAGCGGGGCAAGCAGTGGAGTGCAAAGTAGCGACTCGGAGGGTCATAGCAGTATCCGTATCAGCCGCAGCACCAACAACACCAGCAGCAGCAGAGGCAGCGGCGCCACAAGCAGTGGCAGTAGCAGTACAAGCAGCGGCAGCAGCAGCAGCAGCAGCAGCGGCGGTGGTGGTGGTGGCAGTAACAGCTTGTTGGTCCGGGGAAGCCGCAGCAGCACAGGCAGCACGGGCAGCGGCAGCAGCAGCAGCGGCTTTGGCAGTGGGCGCAAGGCGAAGGGGATGGGGATTCTGTCGTTCGAAGTGGCATCTACGATGCTGCGCGCTCTGGAGCTCTGGGGGCAACTTGAGCCCGCACATATGGACCACCTCAGGAAGGTCCTGCAGGTGAGAGAGAGTGTGAGAGGGATGAGGGGGGCGGGAGAGGAGGTGGGTGGGGGAGAAGGTGGGATCTGGGTCGACTAGAGAAATCACCAGACACCTTTTCAATCGACCCTAAACACACAGGCAACATGGGCGGCACCTTTCAAGGTGGGTGGGGGAAGAAAGCGAGGGAAGGGGGGGTGGGTTGTGGTGGATGGATGTTTTCTTTGAGGCGTGTCAAGAGTAGTCCACGCGTATGGATCAAAAGACCCTGGTGAAGACGCACCAGGTGAGGAAGATCATGCAGGAGAGGAGGACGAGGGAGCCAGCGAGAAAAGAAGTCGGCTGGGGGGGGGGGGGGGGGGGGGGGTGGGGGCCAGGAGGGGGATGAAGGGGAATGTGTTCAGGGAAATTGCCTGGTGTCGGAGGTCTAGAAGAGTGCAGAGTACTATAGCTAATAGCTTCCAGTTCTCCCCTTACATGACTCCAACATCGACGCCCCGTCCCCACCGCCCCACTCTTCTATCTTCCCCCCCCACAACACCCCTCCTCTCCCTTTCTCCCTGTACCTGTCTGCTTCATTCTCTGTGGCAGTTTGCGAGTGTGCATCCGCATCTGAGAAAAGAAAGTTCCAGGCACCAGCTGGTCTCTGTTGCTGTGCCTCCCAGCATCATCATGCCCACTTGCCTCCATGCCCTTCCTTCCCCTCCTGGTTGGTTCGCGTGCAGTCGGACGGAGTGTCCATGACGATTCCAGGGGATGACAAGATAAGCGCCACTGGCTTTTTTTAGTCCACTCCAGAGTCACCCAAACCAACCTCCCCCTTTTTCGCCCCCTTTTTCCCCTTCCCCCCTCCCCCCCGCATGGTTCGTGTGCAGTCGGACGGAGTGACTAAGATGATCCCAGGGGATGAGAAGCGCCACTGGAGGCTCGCAGGTCAGTGGCAGGGGCGGGGGCAGGGGCAGGGGCAGGGGCAGGGGCAGGGGCAGGGGCAGGGGCAGGGGCAGGGGCAGGGGCAGGGGCAGGGGCAGGGGCACGACAGTTGCATCTTGTCCCTCTCGCTCTCTTGCTGTTTTACTTCCCATGTTGCCCCGTTTGAGTTGAGACGTCCCAAGAACCAATATCGTGTATCATGCTCGCTCCCCCGCACCCAGACCCTACACTATCTCCACACGTGTTGCAGTTACTCTGTCACCTGCTTTCTCACCTGCTACCTCGTTTTTCCCCTCCTTGTTTCTCCACATGCGTTGCACCACTCCGCTGTCTCCACCCCTGCCTCTCCCCCCCCAGGTCTGGAGTACCTGCGGGAGCTGCAGGTGCTGCCATCTCTTGTGTGTGTGCTGTCCCGGCGCTGCAGGCACCTCTGTTGTGTTTATCCCCCTCGCCCTCCCTCCGCGCCCATCCCCCTGCTGCCTCCCCCCCAGGCCTGGAGTACCTTCGGGAGCTGCAGGTGCTGTCGTCTCTTGTGTGCGTGCTGTCCCGGCGCTGCAAGGACCCCCAGCGCTTGTCCTCCCTCCTGCCACACCCCTGTTTCCCCCTCCTGCACGCCCACACGCACGCACCCCCCAGGCCTGGAGTACCTGCGGGAGCTGCAGGTGCTGTCGTCTCTTGTGTGCGTGCTGTCGCGACGCTGCAAGGACCCTCGCATGCACCGCCTCAAGGAGAGACTAGCGGAGCTGGAGGCTCAAGGGGAGGCGCACCTGCGGGAGAGAGAGGCGCGAGAGGGCGGGGAGAGAGATAGTGGGGAGAGGGAGGGGGATGCGAGGGTGGGGGGTGTGAGGGAGGATGGGATTGGGCGGGTGCAGGGGCAGCAGGGGGAGGGGGGGCGCAAGGGGGAGGGTTGGCGGCGGGGAGTGGGAGGGGGAAGGAGTTGATGGTGGTGGGGAGGGGTTGGGATGGGGGCGGTGGATGGGAGGGGAAGGGGAACGTCAACGGCGGCGGCGGCGGCGGCGGCGGCGGTGGGGGTGGGGGTGCGGGTGGGGGTGATGCGAGTGACGAGGACTGGTTTCTGTATTCGCCCAAGGAAGAGGCATTCCTGCGCAAGTAGGTGCTTGCATGCTTGCTCTTCTGCATGCTTGCTCTTCTGCATGCTTGCTCTTCTGCATGCTTGCTCTTCTGCATGCTTGCTCTTCTGCATGCTTGCTCTTCTGCATGCTTGCTCTTCTGCATGCTTGCTCTTCTGCATGCTTGCAAGTGTGTGCACCACCATACCAGCCACCAGTCACGTGCAAGCTTCTGGCTCGACTCAATGATCATCCTGTTTTTCCCCGCACCTTGTTCCCTTCTCCATTCCCCTCAGTGTTCCCACCCGCCCTACTCCGCACCTCCCCCACCACTTTCCCCATCTCCTTCCCCCCCTTGATCAGTTTTTTGGGGAAGAAAGTTGCAGCCACCAGACGGCGAGCGGCCGCATGTGAAAGAAAGCTCTAGTTAAGCTCAACAATCACCCGTTCCCCATCCCCTTCTTCTCCTCCTGTCCCCTCCTCCTCTCCTGCTTCCGCCCTCCCTTCGATCAGGTTCCTCAAGAAGCAGGTTGCAGCCACCAATCGCCTGCATGTGAAAGCTTTGCATAGGCACAGCAGTCATCCGTCCCCGTCCCTGTCCCCTCGTCCCTTCTCACCCTTCCCCCCCCCTCCCCTTCCTCTTCCTCTCCTGCTTACGCACTCCTTTCGATCAGGTTCCTCAAGAAGCAGGTTGCAGCCACCAATTGCGTGCATGTGGAAACTTTGCGTAGGCTCAACAGGCCTCCGCCCTCGTCCCTGTTGCCCTATCCGTTCCTACTTCCCTCCCAATCCTGTCTCCCACCCCGGCACCCCCCTTGCCGCTTCCCTTGCCCCCACAAGCAGGTTTCTGGAGAAGGAGGTCACAGCCACCGATCGCCTGCATGTGAAAGCTCTGAAAAAGCTCAACAGTCATTCGTCCCCGTCCCTGTCCCCCCGTTCCTACTTCTTTCCCTCCCAACCCCCCCTCCCCCCTCCTCTGGTGATCAGGTTTCTGGAGAAGAAGGTCACAGCCACCAATCGCCTGCATGTGGAGATGACACTCCTTGATAACCTCATGCCCAGGTGGGGGCACGTAGAAGGTATTGAGTTTGTGTGCGTGTGTGTGTGTGTGTGTGTGCGTGTGTGTGTGTGTGTGTGTGTGTGTGTGTGTGTTTTTGTGCGTCTGTGTGTATCCATGCATGCGTCTATGTATGTAGATGTGTGTGCGTGAGACTCGCAAAGGCACCAGAGAACGCACCAGAACTCAAACCCGTTTTAAAACCCTTAGATCAATCCATGCCCCATCCCATGCCCCATCCCATGCCCCATCCCATGCCCCATCCCATGCCCCATCCCGTGCCCCATCCCATGCCCCATCCCATGCCCCATCCCATGCCCCATCCCATGCCCCATCCCATGCCCCATCCCATGCCCCATCCCATGCCCCATCCCGTGCCCCATCCCATGCCCCATCCCATGCCCCATCCCATGCCCCATCCCATGCCCCATCCCATGCCCCATCCCATGCCCCATCCCATGCCCCATCCCATGCCCCATCCCATGCCCCATCCCATGCCCCATCCCATGCCCCATCCCATGCCCCATCCCATGCCCCATCCCATGCCCCATCCCATGCCCCATCCCATGCCCCATCCCATGCCCCATCCCATGCCCCATCCCATGCCCCATCCCATGCCCCATCCCATGCCCCATCCCGTGCCCCATCCCGTGCCCCATCCCGTGCCCCATCCCGTGCCCCATCCCGTGCCCCATCCCGTGCCCCATCCCATGCCCCATCCCATGCCCCATCCCATGCCCCATCCCATGCCCCATCCCATGCCCCATCCCATGCCCCATCCCGTGCCCCATCCCGTGCCCCATCCCATGCCCCATCCCATGCCCCATCCCATGCCCCATCCCATGCCCCATCCCATGCCCCATCCCATGCCCCATCCCGTGCCCCATCCCGTGCCCCATCCCGTGCCCCATCCCATGCCCTTCACACCTTGCTCTCTCCTCCCCCTGTTCCCTCCCTGTTCTTCAATCCCCTTCCCCCCTCCCCCCCCCCAGCTCCTCCCACTCGCTGCGCATGGCGCGCTTCACCAAGGACGCGCCCTCCTGGGCCACCACTGCCATCGCCGCCAGCCCTCTTTCCTTCCCATGAATTGACCCCACCTCATCCCTCCCTCCCGCTTCGTTTCTCCCCCCATCTCCCTCTTGTCCCCCATCCCCCTCCCATCCCCCTCCCGTCCCTCCCCGCTTTTTCCCCCTCTCTCCCTCCCCCCCCAGCTCCTCCCACTCGTTGCGCATGGCGCGCTTCACCAAGGACGCGCCCTCCTGGGCCACCACTGCCATCGCCGCCAGCCCCTTTGTGCGCGAAAAGATCCAGTCACAGGTGGGTCGGTGGTTGCAGGGAGAGGGGGGAAATGGTGGGGGAACGAGGGTCACTGAGGGGATGGGAAGGGATGGGGGATCGCCTATTCTAGTTCCACTGCCATCGCTGCCAGCCCCTTCGTGCGCGAAAAGATTCAGTCACAGGTGGGTGGGCGAGGGTGGGCGAGGGTGGGCGAGGGTGGGCGAGGGTGGGTGGTGGGAGGAGAGGACGGGGGTGAGGGGGGTGAATGGGGTGAGAGGATTCAGTCACAGGTAGATGGGTGAGGGGTTTCTTTTGTCTGTTTTTTTTTTTTTTTTTTTTTTGTAAATGGATTCAGCATTCCAAAATAAAGTGTGTCAATCCAGCACCTACTTACGCTCTCTGTTAGCAACTTGCACAACCTCCTGTATTCGTCCCATCCCCCTTCCCCCCTTCCCCACCCCTCTTTCCCCCCTCTTCCCCCCCTCACCCCCTTCCCACCCTTCTCCTTTCCCCGCTTCCCCGTTCGTTCGCTCTGCCCAATTTTCATTCTACCTTCCCGCGTGAGCATAGATCTAACGTTTCTGGTTCCTATGCGCACACACAATGCGTTATGATGCTCCAACTAAGCTTTGTGGTTGCTCGTGGTTCTACCCTGTGTGGTACTGTTCCGTGTGGCTCTGTTCTGTGTGCTTCTGTTCTGTGTGCTTCTGTTCTGTGCGGTTCTGTTTTGTTCGGTTCTGTTCTGTGCGGTTCTGTTTTGTTCGGTTCTGTTCTGTGCGGTTCTGTTTTGTTCGGTTCTGTTCTGTGCGGTTCTGTTTTGTTCGGTTCTGTTCTGTGTGTTCTTCGGGTCTCTTTTCGGTTCTCTCTGTGCGTGTGGCAGCTAAAACTCATTCGGCGACTGCAAAAGGAATCCCTGTGGGTAGAGGACTTCGATAAGTGCATGATGGTGCGTACAGGGTGCTGCATGGTGATGTATACATGGGTGATAATTGAGTGTGGGTGGGTGAATGGATGGGTGGGTGCATGGATGGATGGGTGCATGGATGGGTGGGTGGGTGCATGGATGGGTGGGTGGGTGCATGGATGGGTGGGTGCATGGATGGGTGGGTGGGTGAATGGATGGGTGGGTGCATGGATGGGTGGGTGGGTGAATGGATGGGTGGGTGCATGGATGGGTGGGTGGGTGAATGGATGGGTGGGTGCATGGATGGGTGGGTGGGTGAATGGATGGGTGGGTGCATGGATGGGTGGGTGGGTGAATGGATGGGTGGGTGCATGGATGGGTGGGTGGGTGAATGGATGGGTGGGTGCATGGATGGGTGGGTGGGTGAATGGATGGGTGGGTGCATGGATGGGTGGGTGGGTGAATGGATGGGTGGGTGCATGGATGGGTGGGTGGGTGAATGGATGGGTGGGTGCATGGATGGGTGGGTGGGTGAATGGATGGGTGGGTGCATGGATGGGTGGGTGGGTGAATGGATGGGTGGGTGCATGGATGGGTGGGTGGGTGAATGGATGGGTGGGTGCATGGATGGGTGGGTGGGTGAATGGATGGGTGGGTGCATGGATGGGTGGGTGCATGGATGGGTGGGTGGGTGCATGGATGGGTGGGTGGGTGCATGGATGGGTGGGTGCATGGATGGGTGGGTGGGTGAATGGATGGGTGGGTGCATGGATGGGTGGGTGGGTGAATGGATGGGTGGGTGCATGGATGGGTGGGTGGGTGAATGGATGGGTGGGTGCATGGATGGGTGGGTGGGTGAATGGATGGGTGGGTGCATGGATGGGTGGGTGGGTGAATGGATGGGTGGGTGCATGGATGGGTGGGTGGGTGAATGGATGGGTGGGTGCATGGATGGATGGGTGCATGGATGGGTGGGTGGGTGCATGGATGGGTGGGTGGGTGCATGGATGGGTGGGTGCATGGATGGGTGGGTGGGTGAATGGATGGGTGGGTGCATGGATGGGTGGGTGGGTGAATGGATGGGTGGGTGCATGGATGGGTGGGTGGGTGAATGGATGGGTGGGTGCATGGATGGGTGGGTGGGTGAATGGATGGGTGGGTGCATGGATGGGTGGGTGGGTGAATGGATGGGTGGGTGCATGGATGGGTGGGTGGGTGAATGGATGGGTGGGTGCATGGATGGGTGGGTGGGTGAATGGATGGGTGGGTGCATGGATGGGTGGGTGGGTGAATGGATGGGTGGGTGCATGGATGGGTGGGTGGGTGAATGGATGGGTGGGTGCATGGATGGGTGGGTGGGTGAATGGATGGGTGGGTGCATGGATGGGTGGGTGGGTGAATGGATGGGTGGGTGCATGGATGGGTGGGTGGGTGAATGGATGGGTGGGTGCATGGATGGGTGGGTGGGTGAATGGATGGGTGGGTGCATGGATGGGTGGGTGGGTGAATGGATGGGTGGGTGCATGGATGGGTGGGTGGGTGAATGGATGGGTGGGTGCATGGATGGGTGGGTGGGTGAATGGATGGGTGGGTGCATGGATGGGTGGGTGGGTGAATGGATGGGTGGGTGCATGGATGGGTGGGTGGGTGAATGGATGGGTGGGTGCATGGATGGGTGGGTGGGTGAATGGATGGGTGGGTGCATGGATGGGTGGGTGGGTGAATGGATGGGTGGGTGCATGGATGGGTGGGTGGGTGAATGGATGGGTGGGTGCATGGATGGGTGGGTGGGTGAATGGATGGGTGGGTGCATGGATGGGTGGGTGGGTGAATGGATGGGTGGGTGCATGGATGGGTGGGTGGGTGAATGGATGGGTGGGTGCATGGATGGGTGGGTGGGTGAATGGATGGGTGGGTGCATGGATGGGTGGGTGGGTGCATGGATGGGTGGGTGCATGGATGGGTGGGTGGGTGCATGGATGGGTGGGTGCATGGATGGGTGGGTGGGTGAATGGATGGGTGGGTGCATGGATGGGTGGGTGGGTGAATGGATGGGTGGGTGCATGGATGGGTGGGTGGGTGAATGGATGGGTGGGTGCATGGATGGGTGGGTGGGTGAATGGATGGGTGGGTGCATGGATGGGTGGGTGGGTGAATGGATGGGTGGGTGCATGGATGGGTGGGTGGGTGAATGGATGGGTGGGTGCATGGATGGGTGGGTGGGTGAATGGATGGGTGGGTGCATGGATGGGTGGGTGGGTGAATGGATGGGTGGGTGCATGGATGGGTGGGTGGGTGAATGGATGGGTGGGTGCATGGATGGGTGGGTGGGTGAATGGATGGGTGGGTGCATGGATGGGTGGGTGGGTGAATGGATGGGTGGGTGCATGGATGGGTGGGTGGGTGAATGGATGGGTGGGTGCATGGATGGGTGGGTGGGTGAATGGATGGGTGGGTGCATGGATGGGTGGGTGGGTGAATGGATGGGTGGGTGCATGGATGGGTGGGTGGGTGAATGGATGGGTGGGTGCATGGATGGGTGGGTGGGTGAATGGATGGGTGGGTGCATGGATGGGTGGGTGGGTGCATGGATGGGTGGGTGCATGGATGGGTGGGTGGGTGCATGGATGGGTGGGTGCATGGATGGGTGGGTGGGTGAATGGATGGGTGGGTGCATGGATGGGTGGGTGGGTGAATGGATGGGTGGGTGCATGGATGGGTGGGTGGGTGAATGGATGGGTGGGTGCATGGATGGGTGGGTGGGTGAATGGATGGGTGGGTGCATGGATGGGTGGGTGGGTGAATGGATGGGTGGGTGCATGGATGGGTGGGTGGGTGAATGGATGGGTGGGTGCATGGATGGGTGGGTGGGTGGGTGAATGGATGGGTGGGTGCATGGATGGGTGGGTGGGTGAATGGATGGGTGGGTGCATGGATGGGTGGGTGGGTGAATGGATGGGTGGGTGCATGGATGGGTGGGTGGGTGAATGGATGGGTGGGTGCATGGATGGGTGGGTGGGTGAATGGATGGGTGGGTGCATGGATGGGTGGGTGGGTGAATGGATGGGTGGGTGCATGGATGGGTGGGTGGGTGAATGGATGGGTGGGTGCATGGATGGGTGGGTGGGTGAATGGATGGGTGGGTGCATGGATGGGTGGGTGGGTGAATGGATGGGTGGGTGCATGGATGGGTGGGTGGGTGAATGGATGGGTGGGTGCATGGATGGGTGGGTGGGTGAATGGATGGGTGGGTGCATGGATGGGTGGGTGGGTGAATGGATGGGTGGGTGCATGGATGGGTGGGTGGGTGAATGGATGGGTGGGTGCATGGATGGGTGGGTGGGTGAATGGATGGGTGGGTGCATGGATGGGTGGGTGGGTGAATGGATGGGTGGGTGCATGGATGGGTGGGTGGGTGAATGGATGGGTGGGTGCATGGATGGGTGGGTGGGTGAATGGATGGGTGGGTGCATGGATGGGTGGGTGGGTGAATGGATGGGTGGGTGCATGGATGGGTGGGTGGGTGCATGGATGGGTGGGTGCATGGATGGGTGGGTGGGTGCATGGATGGGTGGGTGCATGGATGGGTGGGTGGGTGAATGGATGGGTGGGTGCATGGATGGGTGGGTGGGTGAATGGATGGGTGGGTGCATGGATGGGTGGGTGGGTGAATGGATGGGTGGGTGCATGGATGGGTGGGTGGGTGAATGGATGGGTGGGTGCATGGATGGGTGGGTGGGTGAATGGATGGGTGGGTGCATGGATGGGTGGGTGGGTGAATGGATGGGTGGGTGCATGGATGGGTGGGTGGGTGGGTGAATGGATGGGTGGGTGCATGGATGGGTGGGTGGGTGAATGGATGGGTGGGTGCATGGATGGGTGGGTGGGTGAATGGATGGGTGGGTGCATGGATGGGTGGG